ACACCCCATAAAGAAAAAAAAAAAAAAAAAAAAAAACTAAAAAAAAGAAGTGAGAGGGGGAGAGAGAGAGAGAGAGCACATGTCTGGGCCAGATGCAGAAACCTAGTCTACATGATTCTGAGACCTAGTGATGGAGAGACAGAGTTCGGTACAGCTCTTGGTACAACACTTCCACCAGGCTCCGGCTTCTTCAGCTCTTCCCCTTAGGGATAAATGAGACCAGGACCTACCTCATGTAGTGAAACTCCAAAGCCAGATCGTTCCAGTGCTTCTCATCTGGAGGTACAACTGACTTCAGGGCACAAGGGAAGTGTCCCCCCCAGTTGTCACACAGGTACACCACACCATACTGGCCCCGGCCCAGTTCCTGGCCCAGTTTAGGTTTACCTATAAGGTACAGAAACCACGGTAAGGCAGGAGAGAGAACTTGCAGGGCAATGTCTGTAAGAGTCTTCTAGGGCCAGGAAGTCACGACCATGCCAGGGAAGAAAGTCTGGTATCATCCCAAACCAGTAAAAAGTAACCTAACTGGCTTACTTTAAATGAACTTTCATCACGTTATTTAAACTATATAAATAGCAGGACCTAATGAAATTCAAGAAATTCAAAAACACACCAGTAAGTGTTCAGTAGTTTTGTAAAGAAGCAGCTTTATACACTGGGACTCTGGGAGAGGCTGGACATAATGTCAGATATCCCTACATTCCAAAATACTTGTCAAAAACCAAGAACTCACGATAGAGCAAGACGTCCTGTAAAGACCGGCTCTCCAAAGAAAGGCGGGCCAGGCGGGGAGCGTGATCTTTCCGAACCTTCAGCCATAGATCTTCAGTTTTTTCCAGCCGGCCTGAGTGGCCAGCTTCCAGCTGGGAGGAAAACGGAAAAAAGACCGATGACTTATTAGGTCCTTAGCTTCGGCTCCCTCCTGTAATATCGGGATAATAATACCCACCTAATACAGAAAATTGTGAGAATGACATAAGATGTATGTCACAAGCTCAGCACAGAGACTGACACAGAGTGGAGTCTCAATCGATCATCACTAATCCTCTTAGATACATGATCAGTCCCTTCCATCACTTCCCCACACTGACACACGCACCCCAGAGCAGCAGCTGTCATGTAACTGTAAACTATGGAAGCTGGAAAAGCATCCCTTTCTGTATTCACTCCTAAAGTAACATAAAAGTATACAAAATTCTATCCTCTATTTCCTTTCCTTACTCAGTGAAATGGGGAGAAATTAACTGAGCTCCCTCCATTCTCCTAAGAGTTAGAAAAATATACTCATGAAAAACTTACTGATGAAATTTCCTGTAACATAATATTACCCTTTAATAGAATACAAAGAAAATATACTGATGACTTTCTAAGAAATTATATATAGCACAAACATTCCCCTCTGGACGAGGCTCTTCTCTGCTCGGCCCCACTGTCCCTCCTTTCCTACATACCAACCTGCCTCAAGGAGGCTGCAAAGGCCTCATGAGAACTGTTGAGCCGAGTTCGGAACTGGCTACAAATGCTCTTGGCCAGCTTGGAGGCACTAAGGCTCTCGATGGCTTCCTGGGCCACCTTCCTCTTCCATTCCAGAGTGATGGCAGGTGGGCTCACCCACGTGATACGCAGGATGATCTGGAGGACAAGGACAGTGAGGTCGCTGAGGAGTGGGAGAGAGGAATGACCTGGTGTCCTCTTCTGCTGAGTTACCCACTTACTATCAGCAGGCTAAGATAGGAGCTCTAGGGCCACCCCATGGCATGGCGGTTAAGACACTGGATCCTACGTGGCCAACTGCATGGTCTGAGTCCCAGCCCTGGCAACTTGAAAAATAGGCCTGTGCATGTATGTACATGTCCAAAATCCAGAAAGAGCAGAGAAGAAGGGACTGCTGTGTGGCCATCCCCCTGGGGATGATTTCTTACTTTCCCTCTCTGTCTCTGGCAAATGAATGCTCCCTACAGAAAACTTAAAAAAAAAGAGAGAGAGAGATCAGAGCTCTGTGAAGTCTAAGGTTCCTCTCCAATTCTATCTACCTCCAAATCAAGGCCCAGCCCGCAGGAAAGCATCAAAGAATACTAAGCCTATGTTCAGAAACCCTCAGTACATTATACTCGGTGCCAGGGAGCACCTGATAGATTTCTTATTGAAGTCAATAAATAACTCTACATAAGAGCCACATCACATTCCAGAATAGGAGCCACACTCATCGCCTCTGGCAACAAACCCTGGTTCTGAGAAACATTTAGGTTGGGAAAAGAAATAGAAAGAAGCTAGTGATATAATCTTACAGTTCCATAAAATAGCACTTGAACCCCCACTTCCTCCTTCTCCCTAGCTTGTTTTCATAAATCTATTACAAGTCAAGTGAAATTTACCCAGCTACAGATAAGTGTCACATTGGCACATGACCATCTTTAAGAGCTGAGATAAACTCTACAATGCCTTACAACACATTAAACAGCACCCTAGGTACTGGATAATAACTATTTAATAACCACCACTACCAAAAAACACACAGCAAGAGCCTCAAATATCTAACACCTTACTCTCTCTCTCTCTCTCTCTCTCTCTCTTTTTTTAAGGTTTTGGCCATAGGGCATGTGTACTCACCGGAAAAAAAAAAAAAAAAAAGAGGGAAAATGAGATATCACCCCCTGGGAGATATGACTATATACAATGCCTTCCCCTCTATTCTCTTCTTGAGATTTTTAGGCACACCTGGCGTGAGTTTCAAGCTGCCAGATACAGGACTTGAACTGCAGTCAGCCATGTGGGAGTCCAGTGGCTTAACCACCACGCCACCTGCTGGCTCTATAAACTCATTACTTTTAAGGGTCAAAGGGAGCAGTGTTAATTATTTGAGAAAAGACATCAAGCAGAACTCTCCTGGGCTGGCAAAGCATAACGAATGGCCGCCTGCCTCATCAGAAGCTCCTACGTATCGGTTTCTGTGGAATGGCGAGATTCATTTGAGCCAAATAAGGGCTACCACGTTTTCTGTAAGCACCCCTACCTGCTTGATTTGCTCCCACAGCATCCTTGTAACCGAGGACCCTGAGTGAAACGTGACTTCAACGTGATACGCAGCATTTAAGATCTGAAAGAGAACAATAAGGAACAGAGGTCCTGAGGAAAGTGGCTACTTCAACACTGTGATAAATGATAAATAAATGATATTCACTTCAAAAACACAGTCTCAGGGTTTCAAAATTCATTCCCCAACATACATGTAGAGTCAACTCAAGCTGATTGTTTATTTTGTGACTATTTATGCTTTTACTCCACGTTCTTCAACTTAAATGCAATTTTACGGCTCACCAGCATCTCCCACAGGCAGTGGTCATGTGAGAGGAATACAAAATAGAAGTCAAGCTGGACTGGCAACAAGTTGAAAAGGAAATTCTTGGCTAATTTGAAGTTGGGCTTGTGTGTGGACATGACAAGGCACCTCAACGACCTCTCTTTGAGTACCTGTTTCAGGTAGTTACTGGTGATGTGAACTGAGACATCCTGCGACTTCTCCAGGCTCTGCAGACACCGTTCCAGGGTTCCGACAAAGCTCTCGCGCAGGTAATCCACTGAGCTGATCAGCTTGTTAGCCACTGCCTGGTTAAGTCGGGAGATGATGAGTTCCTGGATCTGTCGGATGCAGCATTTGATCTCTCTGGTGCCCACTGGCTCCCCATTTTCGGGGACAATGACATCTACAGAGGCAGAGAAATCAGCTTGTTGGCTATGAGGGAGGAGGGGCAGACACACTAAGTAAGGGCGTCTCCCAAGTCAGAACCCAGGGACAACCTTGACAATGGCTACAAAGCCACAGCCCTCAACTACTTAAAGCAGTTAAGAAACTAAGAAGGAGCAATTGTGTCTTGAATGAGCCTGTTGATTTTGTTAGCTTTTATGTTACATTTATAGGAGGGAAGGAAGAACAGTTACTGAGTATGACTATTTGAAAGGGTCTATAATAAGCATTTCACAAATGTAATCTAATTTTGTCTTTGGGAGAACTGCCAGGTGGGTATTACTGGTTATACTTTGTAGGTCAGGAAGCAACCTCAAGAGAGGCGGGGGAGAGAGGACCACTGGGAAGAGGATGGTACATTTCAGAAGCAACATAGTTCACATTGGAACCCCACTCTTGCTGATTTCAAAGGATGATCTTTGTAAAATGTCTCACTGCCGGGACCAGCAGTTGGCATAATGGTTATGTCATTGGACTCCCACACAGTCGACCACAGTTTGAGTCCTGGACCCAGTGGCTTAAAACTCATGCCAGGCAAGTGTTCGTGCAGGCCCACAATCTGGAGAGGTGACTGGGAGAGAAGGGTGTGGCCAGCCCCCCTAGGGAGTGATTTCTCACTTTCTGTCTGTCTCTCTGGTGAGCACACGAGCCCTATAGCAAAAATCTCTCAGAAAAAAAAAGTTTTTTTTTCACACTGCTTACCCTATTAATGAGAAAAGTCCCAAAGTCAGAAATTTATTCTAATCAATCACTAAATAAATAAAAAGTAAAACTCAATTGTTTTACCCACCACACTACTACTTCTCAGGATCAGAAAAATTTACTTTGTAGACTAAAGGCCAGGAGAACTTAATAAATGTCAAACCACCTGCAAAAAGATCTGCTCCTAAGAAGGTACTCGCATGTATACTGGCGGAAACTTAAATTAGTGCTATTTCTTTAGAGGAAATCTGGCAATATCTATCAAAATTCAATTTTTTTAGATTTTTGCCATAGGGCACATGTGTGCTTGCTAGAAAGAGACAAAGATAGAGAGAAAAGGAAATTGAGAAATCATCCCCTGGAAGGATGGCCACACTACAATCCCCTCTCCTCCATCCTCATTTCAGGATTTGGGGCATGCACACACATGCACTTGGTGTGTTTCTCAAGTTGCTGGGTCCAGGACTCGAAATATGGTATCAGCCATGCAGGATCCAGGGCCACTATGCCACCTCCTGACCTGCTATCAAAACTTTTTTAAAGAATGATTTAACTTCATTTATTTACTTACTTATTTATTTACTTATTTTAATTTGACCAGAGAGGGATAGCGTGAGAGAGAGACTGAAGGAAAGTTAAAAAGCAAGCCACCAGGTCTAGGACCTCAACTGCGGTCATTCACGTGGGAGTCCAGCGCCCTTAACCACCACCCCACCTACCCCTCCCCCATATGCCCTTTGACCTAACTGTTCTGCTTTAAGGAATTCTTTTTCTAGAACTATACCCTTATAAATCCCAAAGATATTTATGTATGATGATGAGCAATGCAGTATAGTTTGTAAGAGCAAACAAAACAAACAAACAAAATAAGGAAACAGCCTAAATGCCCCTAAATAGAATAGTTCAATAAATTACAGTATATCCATTAAAAGAAGACAGGTTTGTATGTACACTACGGAAAGCTGAGATGAAAGGACAAGGTGCAGAAGAACATATGGAGGGACTTGGAGGCTGGAGGACAGTGTATCGATAGCTCTGAATTAAAAATCACACATGTAAATTTTATCTTTTTTTTTTTTAATTTAGAACTATTTATTTTATTTTATTTACTATTAGTATTCAATTTGACCAGAGAGAGAGGGAGGGAGAAAAAGAAAGCAAGTTCCCAGGTCCAGGACTTGAACTGTGGTCAGCCATGTAGGAGTCCAGCACCTTAACCACCACATCACCTGCCAGCCCCCCTTATTTTGTTTTTGAGATTTTTGCTATAGGGCACGTGCAATCACTGAAGAGACAAAGAGAGACAGAGACAGAAAGTGAGAAATCACCCCCCAGGGGTAATGGCCATACTGCAATCCCTCCTCCTCCATTATCCTCTTGGGATCTTGGACACACACACACACACACACACACACACCAACACGCACACACAAGCACCCAGTGTGAGTTTTAAGCTGCAGGGTCCAGGACTCGAACCACGGTCAACTAAGTGGAAGTTCAGCGATGTAACCTTATGTCATCTGCTGGTCCCAGATTTTATCTTTTTAAAAAGCAAATATTGGGGGCTGGCAGGCGGCTTGGTGGTTAAGGCACTGGACTCCCATATGGCTGACTGTGGTTTGAGTCCTGAACCTGGCAGCTGCTTTCTCACCTTCCCTCTCCGTCCTTCTCTCTCTCTGGTCAAATTTAAAACATGATGATGATGATGAATAAAATTAAATAAACTAATTCTTAAAACAAAACAAAACAAAAAGGCAAATATTGGTTAAATCCATGGTCTGGTGGTTAAGGCAGCTAGGATCTCTCTTGGTTGACCCTGTGGTTCGAGTCCAGACCCCGTGGCTTGCAAAATATGCCAGGTGTGTGTGCATATATGTCCAAAATCTCGACAGGATGGAGAAATGGAGGAGAACAGATTGCAGCACGACAATCCCCCATGAACCCACGCCGAGGCTGGACCCCGGCAATCCCCCATGGGGGAATCCTTTCTCCTCTCCTTCTCAGTCTTTCTGTCTCAGACAAGTGAACATGTCCTCTGGCAAAATTAAAAAGTAAATAAACACATGAGTCTTTTATAAAGCATGAATGTCATGGTATCTAGCGTATATACATTGCCTTTATTTAGAAACAACAGCGAAAGAAATCTGGCTTCATAGGAAATGTGGTAGCTCTCTTCTCTGAGTAATTTGCTTGTCACTGATTCAAGGCCACCCAGAAAGGACTTAGAACAAGGTAAGAACCAGACAAGTAAGTGGTGTCTGATCTGTAGCCATCTAGGTCGGCCGACACACAAGTCCTCACTGTAGTTAACAGAGCCAGACACTTGTCTGCCTGTTCCCAGTTACTCCCACATCTCTCTAGCTAACCACTACATCACAGCACCACGCCTGAGTGCTTGCCTGACATGCAGCAGACAAGTAAACATCTTGCCATCCGTCCAACCTAGGTGCCCTGACCTCCCTTCATCAAGCCACTGTGATGCTTGTATGGATGCTTCAGTGTAATTAAATATCAAAAGACTTCCCAGGATTTTCACTAAAAGTGAACCTTCTCATCACCTCTTCCCTGCAGTGAGACTCATCAAAGAAGTATTTCTGTTCATCTTTAGAAAAACCTATAAGAAATAAGGCATCCTATCTAGGGTCAACTACATTTCCTCTGTATTTCTACGTGTGACAGCAAGACGCCATCATTCACAAACTCAGTCAATCTCCAAAGATGTACTATATATGAGTCTGTGTCATGTGCTACAAGGAAATGGTGACGACTGAGACCTAGCCTTCAATCTAGGATTGTAGAAACACAAAGAGGCCAGCAGGTGGCGTGGTGGTTAAGGTGCTGGATCCACATGTCCAACCAAGGTTCGAACCCCAGACAGCGGCTTGAAAATCACCCTGGGTACATGCACATGCGCGTGCATGAGTGCATGCCCAAGGTCTCCAGAAGAATGATTTGTCACTTTCCCCTATCTGTCTCTGTTTCTCTCTGACAAGCATAATCACAGTGAAAGACAGAAAGTGAAACCTGCCAGAAATAAACTACAAGTAAGATACTAAGGGAAGTCAGGTGAGTACAAGTGTTGCTAGCTAAGAAAATTAAGGCCGATTTTGTGAAAAATGGCATTTGGGAGAGGCTTGAGGGGTAAGTAGGATATGGAAATTTACAGACAAATAAAAGATCTTTCAGGTTTAAGGAAAAGCCCAAGAAAAGGAGACGTGACGGGAAGGTATGGAGGACAGCAAGCAGTTCGGATCAATGGAAACTAAAATCACAGGGAAACGCACAGGGGGAGAAGATCGGCAATGTCGGTAAGGACCAGACTTTGGAAGATATGTAATGCCACCCAGAAGAATGTAAACTTAGTCTGCAGGGACAGGGAGCCAATAAAGATGAACTGGAGAAAGAAAAAGAAGTCAGAGAGCTCGAGTAGGAAACAACAGTTCAGGAAGACTACAGAAGCCCGAAGAAAAGCGTGAGTAGATATCAAATGTGGAAAAAGATTCATCAGCACTTGACAAAGTGATCAGATCTGGGGATGAGAGAAAGAACAGTGAAGGACCAGCAGTACGGTGCGGCGCTCTGTGAGGCAGACTCACATGGGAGGGTTGCCAGTTCATGGCCGGCGACCTCCCTGCCTGGGTACTACAGATGTGTGTGCCTCACAGTCTGGTTTGGCTGAAGTCAGGTGGACCATGGCATCAGGACCCTGTTGGGGTGCTGTACCTCTGCCTCTCTAACTCATGAAATGAAAAAAAGACGATGCTAAGGGTTAGAAGCCAGGTACCAGGAAGAAGGTGGTACAGTAAGTAACTGGGAAAAAATAATGAACAGTAAAGCAAGGGAATTGAGTATGGGATTAAGGGGCCAGCGGGCGGTGTGGTGGTTAAGGGACTAGACTCCCACATGGCCAACTGTAGTTTGAGTCCCATACCTGGAGGTTTGCTTTCTCACACTCTCTTTTTCTTTCTCTCTCTGGTGAGTGTATGTGTTCTATAGCATATTTAAAAATAACAGTAATAAATTAAATCATTCTGAAAAGAAAGAAAAAGAATAAGGGGTCAGGAATCAGATCGTCTAGATTGAAACCCTGCCTGTACTATTTAATAGCTATGTGACTCGGGCAGATCACTGAAATGTCCTAAGCCTAGCCCTCATCTAAAAATTGGAAATGAGCAGAAGCCACCTAGAGAGGTTATTTTTGAACAAGACTGATTCTATGTCCCTTATCAGAAATCCTGATTGGGTCTGGAGTGGTCTTCAGGGATTCGGAGCACCAGTGCTTTCAGAAAGCCTCCCAGAGGGTTGGGATGTGCGTCCATGACTGAGAGGCTAAAGGGAACTCACAACCATGTGGCTGTACTTAGGAGGCAGGAGAGCACCCACTCACACACGGAGGCTTATACAGCAGTCCATTTACAAAGTCAGCACCATCTAAGCCTCCACACAACAGAAGTCCTGAGCAACCACTTCCGCTCCATTTTGTTTGTTAATAGCCACTGTGAAGAATGGGACTGCTAGAAAAGCTAAAAACACTACTCTGGGAAGTCCTCCTGAGTTGGAACAGCCTCAACAGAAAATGAGACCATGAGACAAAAAGAAGAATGAATAAAGAAGCATGGTGCTGTTTAAGGGGCAAAGGTTAAAGCAAAACTTTGCACTCTTCAAGCTGCTCTTCTTCAGGGTGGAAAGCAGAGAGCTATGAGGGTTAATTTACCGTAAGTTGGGCTAATGGTCCTGGGAAGAAATGACAGTGGAATTCTCCAAGAAGTGTTTGAGAGCAAGAGAAGCCAGTCTGGGTAAATGCTTTAAGGTGGAT